GATATGAGTTAGTGATTTATCCTCAGGTTAAAGGATCACTTTTCGAAGATTAAATGGAGTCAGTGCATTATTATGTAACTCCTTGGCAGAACAATGTAACCCAAAGAAATCGAAGTGTATTATTATTTTGGGCAGCAGGAAAAAAATGTTAAAATGGACTTTGTCGATATCCGATAATTTAAACGTGAAGCTATTGGATATAAGAATTACTTGCGAGCACACTCAGATGGAAGTTCAAACAGGGAGCAAAATCTATGCCCATGGCGACTAAAGAGAGTTGATCGGCGATTGCCAGTCACCATCGGGTAGATTTAGCTCAAACGCAGTTCGGAGGAAGGCTGAAAACCGCATTTGATACTGTAAAACTCAAGTGCACACCATTTCAAATCTAACGGTATCTTAGTCAAAAGAAAAGACTAAAAGTTCACAGTTTCTACTGAAAACCTTGAAGAAACCGTTCTTCTTTCAAGTGCTATAAGTCAGTCGCCATAACTAAAAAATGCAAAAGGCATTCTGTTTTAACATCTCGTCCACTTATTTCACCATCTTCAGAGTACTCTACTACTGAAATTGCCGTGCAATTTCATTTGATGAGCATTATATCCCTGCAATTGTTCTAATTATCACTTTTATTTTTGTTATATGAACTGCATTGTCAACCGCCCGGAACCATTTTGATTGAGGTAAAGGAATAGGCTCAAGTCAGTAAAGAGCTTAGATAGGCAACGCAAGTGCTTTATTAACAAAACGATCCGCATTCACTCTCCAACCCACCAGACAGCAACATACAGAGGTGGCAGATGCAACTACCGGATGCGGTATTTATATGATACAGTTGGTACGCAACTAATATTTCGACTATCGAAAATTTGACGCGATCGCTGGGACCAGAACCAAATTCGCCTGACATTTCGGATTCATGCTCGAGCCGGCATTTGAAGAGGAAGTTGAGCATGAATGCGAACCGTCGGGTGAGTGAAGATTGTGCCTCAGCGATCGCATCTTCTTGTTCTCAACCACTTTCTCTTTTATTAGTAGTTAGGCCAATAATATTTGCCGTGGACCTTACACAGTTATGAGCGCAGACACGGTGACTGCACGCAAAACCATTTTACAATGATGGCAGAATTTCCCGGCGTCTACAGCACTCTCTCTTCCCTCGAGCATGTAAGCTTGGTGTGAAAACAAAACCAAGAATTTGTGATGCGAGTTTGGACGCAGTGTCTGACAAAGCTTAATATCCCGGATATGAGTGCTACCCACATGCGATCAATGCACAGTTGTTCAGATGTCCACATGAAGGAGAAAGATACTGCTCGGAACCCCAATTTGTCGGAACGTCAACACTGAGAAGAGGACATTGCCGCCTGACTCTCTGCCCTAATTGGATGTTCAAAGTATCCGGTCACTTGGTAGCCTTAAATGTCATGGGTTTTTGCGAACCGTGCTATTTTAGAAGCACATCAGATTTTTGTAGTGAGGAAAACGCTCTGGATGTCGTGGTAGCGCAGTTATCGTTTCAATCTCTTGCTCTCTTAAATTTCGCAGACATCAGTCCTTTTTCTGAGTTGACCAGTTGCCTGAGTCGTGAAGGGACACAGGTTACTAAGAGAAATCAACAACCTGTTTAAAGTGTGGGGATAGGGACCAGGTCCTGTCTGATTCATGTTGGTTCACCTTCCGCTGAAAACTAAGATACCTAGTCAAGCGTGAATTCAAATTCACTACTCTTGTTGTACTATGCGCCTACCTACGGCGGTGGCTATTACTATCTCATGGGCAACATGTCATTATAGACAAGGACAGGGGAGGGCTGAAATGACTACTTTGGGCTTATTAGTAGTAATCACTAAGCCCTACATAAGTTTCCGGGTTACGACACGCAAGGCTCGGAACCCTAACCGAGCCCATGCTCCAGTGGTTAGAGCATTGGATTTCTAGCCCATAGGATCGCGCGTTCGAGCCTTGGGTTGTATCACCCGAGGTTGGGTATGGCTGGCTAATGACGGCCTATAAGCCAGAAGTACCCATCTCAGTACCCCTTGTCTTTGTCAGTAATGTCATTCTGCCTCTACCATTAGCCTCTCTGCAGTTGCTGGCAGGGCTCGAGAGCGATGGCAATCCTGCTCATTTGGAATCCAGTTATCCGCCTTTTCGGTTATTTGAAATTCATCAATCGTGCCCAGACCAGGCGTGTGTGGAACACTTACTAGGGATGGCAAATTTCGTCACCCATTGCGCTTGATCCCGTCTCTGATTTTTCCCCTTTGTCTTAACACCAGGTCCAGGAGTGAAGAAAAAAGCGCGGTAGACCTACGAAATTCTGTTATCAGTATATTGCTAACATAGTATGAATATTTGACCGAGCCCGCAAGTGAAACCAGCCATTAATGACAGCACTTCTAGGAGAAATGGCGGAGTAACTGTTGCGCTATACACCAACAATACTGTTGATCACGCGAGGTCCAGGTTGCAGAGCAAAAAATCCTACAGGTACTGCATGCGCTTCAAGCTGTTGCTGTAGCTTGTGTTCAAGAGTGAAGGTAATTCATTAGAAGATTACGTTTACAGTGCTTTCTTCTCAAAATGCCATCCAGAATACATTTTTATGGAAGTTATTGTTATTTATAGACTTTTTTAGTTGTCACTGTTAAGGGTTTTGAGAGTTCACTCCCACCAAAATAGGAGTATTTTCCGCAGCCTGCATATCACACGAAATTTAAGTGTTTCCCGTGTTAAATGTGCCACCTATGCTAAATTTGATTCTATGATTGCTATTTCCTGGACTTCAGCCACCTACTTCACTACATGTATAATCGTCTGATCTGATGTAAGCGTATTGCACATGGGGTACCGAAAGTCTTCGACTAGGCCTAACGCCGACATTCATTCGGTCCATTTATGCAACATGTATGGACGCCCAACATGCCTTGGTAGAAAATAATAGCTCCTAGAAGGGTCTACCAATTTAACTTTAGATAAATGCGGTGATTCACGACGTTTTGACAAAACGTTTTCACAGGTAATCTATTTAACTCCTGTGATAAAATATATCAAGGTATAGCCTTTTGAGAAGATTTGATGGCCGGGACAAGACATTTATTTGGCTGAAATTTTGAAATCCGTCTCGGATCTTTCGTGAGTCACATTAGCAGAAACGGGTCATTCTTGCACAGGTAGTTGCAGTTTTTAGAGGATACGGTCACTACTGCACATTTATGACAATTAACGAGACCTTCATCAAGGGTATTTGCCCGCTTGTGTGCTAGTTGCTTGATGACCGGCGTGATGTCAGTAACCTACTGAACGTTCGTCATATATGGTGGAATTCGACATGATGATTCCTCGGACATCTATTTCTCTGGTTTTGGCGTAGGACGACGCGGTGGCATGTGCAATCTCCAAGTGGCGAATTGCTTTAATCAAACTGAGCCTCAAGACCGAATATGGATTGGACAGGTTGTTGCACTTGTTTATAGACTGGAGGCCCGTGAACCATGATTCAACTAATTCGCGACTTACACGATTGTCACTTCTCGCGAGAATTTCGGCCTTATCAAATTTCAGTGTGTTGCCGAGTCTCGTCGAGTGAGCCGCAACTTAGGAGCTTGTGTTATTTTTCCGCACTGCTGCCTCGTGTTCAGCAATTCGCGTCCTAAGAAGTCCTTTAGTATCGATCGCAACTAAACTAAATCCCATAGGCCACATTACATGTTTCTTTCCGTGGCAGTGGACTTTCTGTTTTATTATCTGACGCCACACAGTGGCTTCCGGCCTGTGTGCGAATCCAACACCAAGTGGTACGTGGAAGCGGCCGTCGGCCTTCGAAAACTTATGGACATATGTGATCGCTCACCAAAATTTGGGGCCGTTGCGAGGTTTTTGTCCACCTTGTTTGCGCACGCACCGGTTAACGAAGTTCCGGGGGTGTCCATTTTCTCTCAACGCCCGTCAAAGCTGCTGTATTTCAGCCACTTTTTATTTTGGTTAACTGCAGTGCGTCTCAACACGTCGATAAAGTGTCCTTACACAACAGCATCTGTGACTTATTGGAT